CCTCCAACCATGTGAAGCCATTCAAGCCACCCTATCCTAAGTGGTATGATCTTACAGCTCACTATGACTACCACTATGGAATTGCTGGCCATTCCACTAAAAATTGCACTGCTCTAAAGCATAAGGTGCAACAGTTAATCAAAGATGGAATGGTAAGTTTTGATCAAGAAAGAGCAATAATAGCTAATGTTAGTGGCAATCCATTGCCAAATCACAATGTCAATGGTCTAAGCGAGAATCAAGAACATGTTGATCTGAAAAGGCTTGGAGAGTTGTAGTGAATTAAGAGGGTAAAATGTCAATAAAGATCCTTCACCTACACAAGGGCATAATTTTGGGAGAGTGATGATAAGGCTGGCTGAAAGTTTCTTATTATTTTAGGATTTGTTATAAAATAATGTTAGGATTTCTTTTATGCAATAGGATTTTATCTGCTATCATTTTAATAAAAGGCAAGGATAATGCATTTCATTACATTTTCTTTTTCATTCAACCATTGTTCCATACTTTGTCACCTTTCATAACTTTTCATTCCCATTCCTATTCTCAATGATGAATGTTTAGACAGTGATGTTAACAATAATTCTGGGATTTAATTTTGAGAACTTTATCCACATTAATATGAGGAGATGATTTGAGCAAAAAAGTAAACTATTACTAGAGGTGAAATAGATATGTCTTGAAGATGTGCAATCTTTTACACAGGTACATGAGCTTTGTTCAATAGATGATGTTCAAGAACAGTATTCATAATTAAGATGAAAAATGGACATCTTTCTTTTACCATTCGAAAAACCATTTATTGCTACCCCTTTAAGCCTATTATGATTTCTTTTTCTAAAGAACACAACCAAGGATCACCCTCTATACTGGTGGGCAATTTTTGAAAAAACAAAATCATAAAAGGTCTCAAAGTTGAAAGAGAAAGAAAAGCAAAAGAAAAAAAAATGCCACACATGATTTGGGGCAAAATAATAAGAATCCTTTGTGTGAGGAAAGAAAAAAGTAGTGAAATGATGTGGGGGCAAATGCCAAGTTGCATCAAATGATCCTTTGCTTTTGAGCCTATTATATCCATTTCTTTTATGACCCCTCTCCTTGACCTACAGTACAACCTTGAAAAGTCTATTTGGATCAAATGTGAATGCTCAAATTGAAATATCATATGTTAGGCAAAGGCATGCTCATGATGGAACAATGGGATCATGCTACATTGCTCTAAAGTTTGATGTGTGGAAGATATCAACAATGGATGAAAAATGAGAAAAAAGAGAAAAAGATGATGAAAAAAAATAGAGGAAAAAAAATAAGCAAAAAGAAAAAATGAGAAAATGAAAAAATGAAAAAAAAAGATTCAAATTGAAAACCTGAAAGGGTGATTTGGGAAGAAAAAGATCTAGGTCAAATGGTTCACATGGATGGAAGATCAAAGACATCTGAAGATCCCTCAAAGACTGGGGCAAAGTTCACCAAGCTAAAAATGACTTCAACAGTAAATGGAATGAGTTTTTGAAAAAGAATCCTAGATTAATGTTCAGAATTGTTTGAATATTCATCGTTTGGACATACCATCATCCCAATGACATGTATCCAATTTATTTCCTTTCTCATTTATTTTGTACCAAAATAGATCTTCATTGATTATCTTTACCATAATTCACCTTGTGTTCTCTTATTGTTACATTCCTATAATAAATCAAGAAAATGTATGAGCACATTATATTTGTCAAGAATTGAAACGATGATGAATGAATGACAATGTGCATAAAAAAGGTCTTGCATTCCTTTAAAGAGAAATCTAAGATGATGGTGGTAACAAAATGAAAAAATGGTAGAAACCTAAAAGAGATGATTTGAAAGGACATATAATGTGACCAAATGGAGAATATGATGATGGATTGGACAATAAAATGAAGATGGGGCAAATCTTGAAAAGTGGTATAATCAAATGATGAATATGGGGATGTATTAGTTGATATAACCTACGAGTTATGATTAAATGATGAAAATGATATGGGGCAATAGACGAAACTGGTGCTGAGAAGCTTATGAACGATGACCAAGTGACAAATGATGAAATTTGTTTTGAAATGGCTAGTATTGAGAAGCTTATGAATGATGACCAAGTGATAGAAGATGGAATTTATTTTGAAATGGTTAGTGCTGATAAGCTTGGCATGTGAGGTAGTAGGTAAAATTTATTGGTGCTGAGAAACCTCTAGATGGTGATCAAGTAATGGAAACAATGATGATCAATTGATGAAGCTTGTTCCAAAATGTTGAGAAGCTAAATAAGGGGAGAATATGAGATGGTAGGGTCTTGAGGACCATATTCCACAATTATTTAGGATTTCATGACATTATTGGCATTCGCATTACATGCAACATGTTGGCATCATTGCTTAAATAGTACATTCACATAATTTGATGTTTGGACATGCATGGCATTATAAGAATCTAGGTTGTTGCATTTGCATCATTAAGAAGGCATATGCATCTTTGATCATAACATTCATTCATGCAAAATTTTGGGTCATTTGGAAAGAAATTATGAACCTTTTGATTAAAATTTTTAAATTTCAAATAAGAATCTTTGAATTTTAAAGAAAAATCTTAAAGTTTTAAGTTCCAAAGGAAAATCTGTAATATGTGAAACTCCAAGGTTTCTTGAACGTGAATCTTTAAACTCGAATGAAAATCCTTGAGTTTCAAATGAGAATCTAGGTTGTTGCATTTGCATCATTAAGAAGGTATTTGCATATTTGATCATGACATTCATTCATGCAAAATTTTTGGTCACCTGAAAGGAAATTGTGAACCTTTTGATGAGAATCTTTGAATTTCAAATGAGAATCTTTGAATTTCAAAGAAAAATCTTGGAGCTTTAAGTTTTAAATGAGAATCTTTGAGATATGAAACTTTAAGGTTTATTGAATGAGAACTTTTGAGCTTGAATGAGAAGCTTTGAATTTTTGGATGAAAATCTCCAAAATTCAAATAAGAATCTTTAGAATGTAGATGCGAGTCTTATAATTTGCAACAACAAATCTTAAGATCTTGCAAATTTGAATTCTTATGAAACTAAAATTTTGAGAATCCAATTTCAGTGAATTCTTGTGAAGCTGAAAGGTTCTTGCAAATCTGAACCTTTGATTTGCAAACTCAAATTATAAATCTTTGAGTTTCCATCAGTTATGATTTATGACTCCTTCATAAATGATTTTTAATGAGCCATTTATTTTTTTGAAAGTTCTGTTGCCTCTATTTAAAGGAGCCAGTGATTTTTCAAAAGTTCTGTTGCCTCTGTTTAGAAAAGCAATTTATTTTTTAAAGTTGTGGTGCCTTTGTTTAGAGGAGCATTTATTTTTCAAAGTTGTTAAGCCTCTGTTTAGAGGAGCTTTGTTTATTGTCCAAAATTGTTGAGCCTCTATTCAAAGGAGCTTTATTTATTTTTCCAAAAGTTGTTGAGCCTCTGATTAGAGGAGCCATTTATTTTCCAAAGTCGTTAAGCCTCTGATTAGAAGAGCTATTTATTTTCCAAAAGTTGTTGAGCTTCTGATTAGAAGAACCATTTATTCCAAAGTCATTGAGCCTCTGATTAGGGGAGCCATTTGTTTTCCAAAGTCGTTAAGCCTCTGATTAGGGGAGCTATTTATTTTCAAGGTTGTGGGGCCTCTGTTTAGAGAAGCTTTGTTTATTTTTCAAAGTCATTGAGCCTCTGTTTAGAGGAGCTTTATTTATTTTTCCAAAGTTGTTGAGCCTCTATTTAAAGGAGCTTTGTTTATTTTTTTGAAGTTGTTAAGCCTCTGCTTAGAGGAACCTTTGTTTATTTTTCCAAAGTTGTTGAGTCTCTATCATTGAGCCTCTACTTAGAAGAGCTTTGATCAAAATTTTAACAAAAAAAAAAAAAAAGCAAAAAACAAATGTCAAGTTGAGTATTAAATGGGTGTCTACGTCTTTACACAATTCCTGTTTCATAAAAAATATGCAAAGAAGGGCAGCTGTAGACACCCTATTATGTCTGGGGTTCTTTGTCAATCGAGACTAATCTAAGCTTGGTTGTAGGGATTTTTATTCATTTTTATTTTAGATTTTTTTATTTTTGTATTTACCTTTTTATTTTTTTATGGTCTATCTATTGTTTAATTTATTTTTCTTTCTCCATTATCTGATTAATTTAAAAAAAAAAAAGAAAAGCTGAAAGAATGAGATTAGGATTAGTTCTAATTTTTAGCTTTGGGTGATAATCAGAATTGCACTAAAACTCAATCACATAGTTTTATAAATGATTGCAATTTATAGCAAGAAGGACGGCAACAGCAACAGAGGAAAGATAAGGGTTAAGTGACTAAAGAAGAAACCCAAACATAAACCAAGAAAAAAAAAAGGTATGAACGAAGAAAATTTGGAAGAATGGGACGCGAGTTTCTTGGAGGAACTTATCTAAGTTGAAGAAATTGCTCTTTCTTGTTCTTCTGTTAACCAAAACAACCCTCATTCTTCCTTCTATTTACCACCTTTGCCACGGCTGCCACCACCAACATCATCACATCATCAACACCTACATTTTTCATCGTCATCTCGCACTAATTCCCTCAGTTACTCGCCTCTCAAAAAATTGTCGATTTTGGTGGGGCCTTGAATTCTAATGGCAGTTTTGCTAAATGTGCTACTTCTTCGACTCCTATGCGGCTAGTTCGTGGTTCTAAAAATGCTAAGATTCTTAAGATTGAGTGCTTAAAGAATGAGCTATGACACATTTGAAAGCAACTAACGGACCTAGAAAAAGAGTGTTCACAGTTTAAGAAGGAAAGAAATAAGGAGGATTAGCTTGCTTTTGTGGATTCAAAGAATGAGGTGAACATTGCTAATTTTCATGGGTCAAGGATTGCAAACTTAGAACATGGAATCCCTATTACAGCTCATCATGAGGCTATCCAAGAATTTTCAAATGCTAAAAGCTTTTGATGGTTAGATTGGCCTGAATATAGCCAAGTCAAGTTGTAAGGAAATTAGAGTTCAGACAGATCTAAGTGCTTGTCTAGATCTTTCTAAGAAGTTGCATGGCATCTGGGATTTGTCAAGTGACCAAAAGTTGAGAAAAAATCTAATAGCCAAGTTGTTTGTAGTTTGTTCCATAGATATTGATGTCCTATTTGGGTTCATTAATATGAGCTCACCTTCTAAAACAATGGAACCATTGGTATTTAAGAGCTCTTTTAATAAGGCTTTGTAGAGCTTTGTGCATCCTGTTCTTAGTTCTGAAGCTATAAAAGTATATTTTTTCTACCCTTCTTTGACTAAGATCAGTAGTGGACTGTTGCAATTGAAGGCTCTATTTGAGTCATTGTTTGATCTCTGTAGTGTTGAAAATGCAGTTATTGCTTATAGATCGCTCCATATACTACATGTCTTACTGAAGCATCTTTTGACTTTTGAAAGGAATCTTGAAGCAAGCAAGAAAAAGATGGCAACAAGAGTACAGAGATTAGGGAAGGATCATCGAAATAAAAAAAAAACTAAAATCCACGGCACCACCAGTTCTCACCAAGCTAATTTTGTTGTCGTCTCCACCTTACCATCCTTCCATCATTGACAATTCACCTTGAAGTGGTTCATTTCATCTCCTAACCAATCTCTTTTCTTTAAATGGTATTAAGATCTTCAATCCAAATGGCTTGTAAGAAGATCAGAGAGTACGATTCCAAGAGACTTTTGAAAGAGCACCTCAAATGCCTAGCTAATATTCATCTCCAGATTTGCTCTGCCTAGGTGACACAATCCGTTGATTTCACTCAGTTAGCAAACCAAGAACCATGGTTTCCATCCACCAGATTGGTTGTCAAGCCAGATATGTTGTTTGGGAAATGTGGAAAGAGTGGCTTGGTTGCTCTCAAGTTAGATCTTGCTAAAGTTGTTGAATTCGTCAAAGCACGCCTTGGCATTGAAGTTGAGATGGGTGGTTGCAAAGCTCCTATAACCACCTTCATTGTTGAACCTTTTGTCCCCCATGAACAAGAGTATTACCTTTCAATAGTCTCTGAAAGGCTTGGCTCAACCATTAGCTTTTCAAAATGTGGAGGCATCAAAATTGAAGAGAATTGGGATAAGGTTAAGACCATTTTCCTTTCATTTGAGAAACCTATGACCTTCGAGACGTGCGCATCATTGATAGATACATTCCCTTTTGAAGTTCGAGGGAATATTGGTGACTTCATCATGGTTGTCTTTTCTGTCTTTCAAGATCTTGATTTTAGCTTTCTGGAGATAAATCCATTTACGTTGGTGAATGGAGAACCATACCCACTGGATATGAGGGGAGAGTTGGATGACACTACTGCATTCAAGAACTTCAATAAGTGGGGTAACATAGAGTTTCATCTACCTTTTGGAAGAGCCTTGAGCCCAACAGAAAGTTTCATTCATTCATTGGATGAAAAGATGAGTGCATCCCTGAAATTCATTATTTTGAATCCAAAAAGGCGTATCTGGACAATGGTTGTTGAATGTGGCGCTAGTATCATATATGCTGACACTTTGAGCTACCAAGCCGAGCTGAGCCGCATCCTCTAAGCTGTTCCTTTCAGTTGATTTTTGTGTTTGGAGCTGAGCCGCGTCAACCCTCCAACCGAACCGTTTCAATTTTTTTGGTCTTTTTTTTATTTTCTTTTTTTTGTAGTTTTTTTATTTTTTTATTTATGTGTTTGTTTATTTTTTTGGAATATTTTTTGCATGACTAAATAAAATAAAATAATATAAAATAAAATTTTTAAGAATAATATTTTTAAGGAAAAGTTGAAAGTATCAATTTTCCTTGTACAAAAGCATTGAGTTTTTGAAGAGAAAAGGATTTATATCAAAGATTGAATCATTATTCTTTTTTTTATTTATTTCTTTTTTTCTTGAATTTTTTTGTTAAATAATCCGACGATAGAGCCTTTACATGTGAAACAGTAGTCTCCTTACATACTCTTGAGGTGAGGAAATTTTCTCAATTTTCTGCTAAAAGTATTAGAGTCAATTGAGAATAATTTTCAATAATTAATTACTTGGTAAATTTTTAAGGCTTGTTGGATAACACAAAATTAAGCTAGTACCGTCTTTCGATGGGCGTTGTGAGAGTGCTATAACCTTTCTCACACATAATCGTACTCCCAAACCTTGCTCTGATCAACATATCTGAATCTATTCTTTTAGGGACCCTTATGTTTAGGTATTCCTTGGAATGATAGACTCCTTAGGTGGCCAATCGCACCTAAATAAAAAAGATTGGTGGTGACTCCTTCAAGTCAATGTCTAGCGATAGATCCCCAGATGTATATGTTATGACATCCATTACTGAAAGTCATTTTGGTTTTTTAGGACAAAAGGAGTCATGGTGTCACCTACACACACATTATGAATAGGATGTTGATGGCACATGCTCTCTTTTTTGTTTCAATTTCATGGTGCGATTCATGTTAGGGGTTTGTTATTTAGCTACAAGTGATGATACTAATCATTTCACCTTCCTAGGAGGCTAAACAAATCAATCTTCATGCATGCCCAGGGTCAAAAGGGGTTCAAGGCACAAAAGCACCCTCGCCCCTTTAGTATTTTGTTAACGTATTTGTGGGTTGTTCATTGAGCAAGTTTATACAATGATCTTTCTACAGGTTCACCTAAAGAAACCTTGTTATGACTTCTCCTTCCTCTAAATGATAAGGTTCAGTAGACTTCTTATAACATTATGAGCAATGAACCATCCACATTGCCACGATCCAAACACTTCACTGAACCATTCAATTAGTAAGAGCGATGGGTGATGTGTACAAAGGGTAAAGACATAGTCAACATGAGCTAGTGACTTATGCTTACTAAGAATTCCTTGTTCAAGACCAACAATTACAATGATCTATCCCCATCATGATGAAATTTCAAAGATTACCTCTCATTGAATACATCAGTCTAGCGTGCATGCAGCCCAGAACATCTAAGGGCATCACAAACCTATTATTGCCTCAAACTTCCTTGGCCTAAGTGGCTATAGTCATTCTAAGAAGCTATCCACAAAGGATCACCTCTGTGTAGCTAGTTAGCAAGTTGAAGTTTCATTCATTAATAGAATTAACAAGACAAATCACTCTACCAACTAAGAATGGCCATGTAACACCACCCATAAAATTAAGAAAGATCTTTCAATCTATCAATCCTTGCTATGTATGGACCTAGTAAGTTTCCTTGTGTTGAGTCAAATTAAGCTACAAGCTCCACTTTTGGTGGTGCCCTTCCATCAATTCCTTTAAGTTTCAGCCTTGCAACCATACTCCTTTCGAAACCCAAAGACTTTGATTTTTCATAAGGTGTCGGTAGAGTCCTAAAAGTAACATCCATCGATCCATAGTCAGCATCATTTATGGTTGACACTAGAATGGTATTTGATCATTTTCAAGCTCCCAACTTTAATTCTTTATTAATGAAAACATCATTGGCAAATGCTTCATAGTTGTTTGTCTTTCATAAATCCAAGAATTTCACCTCTGACTGTGAAATATGAATGCCCTTGACTGTCCCTATTAATCATTACTCCGATCTCAAAGGCCAACACAATAGGATTAAAATCCTATGATGTTACCCTATGCTAATGTATACAAGTGTAGGCTTACTTGAGCACTTTGAGTTTTTTCAAAGTAACAGCGCCAAAGGAATGACTCGATCAAATAAGGCCAAGATCACGTTATTGATAATAGGGATGAGTAAATCATTGCTCATCGTGACCGAGCTAGATGACCCAATCCTCGTTCCAACTATGAGCTTTTTAACTACAACAACTTAAATATACACTATTGGAGCTAGAATTACCATAGCTGCTGGCACTAGACTTGCCTTCCCACAGATCCTCACTAAGGGATTTAGGTTATACTCATTCTAATTGCCAAACTCATAGAGCCCAGTATTGTTATTTATTGTCACTACTTCCCTATTTTTGAACACTTTACCAGAACATTCAGTTGGTAGGAGCAATGAGTGATGCGTACAAAGGGTAGGGATATAATCAATGCAAGGTGATGACTCATGCTCACTAGGAAATTTTAAATCTCTTACATATTAATTTTTTAGTATGAATAAATTCATTTTATTTTATTCCAAATAAGTTAGTGTGAATTGAAAAAATTGTTTTATGACAAAACAAAAATGATTTAAAATAAATAAAGGTTCATATAGTCTTAACTATTTGAACTAGTTTAGCAAACAAATTTATTTTCTAAATCTCTCAGTTATTAATTTTTGGAATATTTTTATATTAGTATTATTTTATTTTGAATAAGCTTGTATAAACAGAAATAATTGTTTTATGACAGAACAAAAGGTTATAACTATTTGAAGTATACATTTATTCAAATAGTTAACTATTTAAACTGGTTCAGTAAATAAATTTATTTTTTAAATCTCTTATTAATTTTTGAGAGATTAATAAATTACTATTATTTTATTATGAATAAACCTTGTATAATAAAAAACAATTGTTATATAACCAAACAAAAGGTTATAACGATTTAAAATAGATAATTGTTGATATAGCCATAATTATTTGAACTAATTTGGTAAACCAATTTACTTTTTAAATCGCTTACTTATTAATTTTTGAAATATTAGTAAATTAGTATTATTTTTATTTTGAATAAGCTTTTATGAATTGAAACAATTGTTTTATGATAAAACAAAAGGTCATAATGATTTTAAATAGACAATTGTTCAAATAAGCATAACTATTTGAATTTGTTTGGTAAACTAATTTATTTTTTTAAACTATTGCTTATTAATTTTTGAAATATTAAGAAATTAGTATTCTTTTATTTTGGATAAGCTTTTATAAACTGAAATAATTGTTTTATATCAAAACAAAAGGTCATAATGATTTTAAATAAATAATTGTTCAAATAGTAATCACTATTTGAACTTGTTTGATAAACAGATTTATTTTTTCAAACTTTTCCTTATTAATTTTTCAAATGTTAATAAATTTGGATTATTTTATTTCGAATAAGATTGTAAGATATGAAACAAATATTTTCTAACTAAACAAAAGGTTAGAATGATTTAAAATATATAATTATTTTAATAGTTTTAACTATTTGAACTGGTTCAACAAACACATTTATTTTTTAAATCTCTTACTTATTAATTTTTGAAATATTATTAAATTAGTATTATTTTTAACTAAATAAGCTTTATGATTAGAAACAATTGTTTTATGACAAAACAAAGATCTTAACGAATTGGATTGATAATTGCTTAAATAGTCATAATTATTTGAACTAATTCGATAAACAGATTTATTTTTTAAATCTCTTACTTATTAATTTTTGAAATATTAATAAATTAGTATTATTTTATTTTGAATAAGCTTGTATGATAAAAAACAATTGTTTTATGACAAAACAAAAGGTCATAATGATTTGAAATAGATAATCATTCATATAGTCTTACTATTTGAAATGGTTTAGCAATTTGATTTATTTTTTAATTTTCTTGGTTATTAAGTGTCAAAATATTGTTAAATTAGTATTATTTTATTTTGACTAATAGTATGAATAGAACCAATTGTTTGATGACAAAATAAATGGTTATAATGAATTGGAATAGATAATTATTCAAATAGTCAAAACTATTTGAAAAGGTTTGGTAAACAGTTTTACTTTTTAAATCTCTTACTGATTAATTTTCTAAATATTAATAAAAGGTTAGAATAATTTGAAATAGATAATTATTTTAATGGTCTTAACTATTTGAACTAGTTCGGCAAATACATTTATTTTTAAATCTTTCACTAATTTTTGGAATATTATTAAATTAATATTATTTTTATTCAAATAAGCTTGTATGATCAGAAACAATTATTTTATGAGAAAACAAAAATCATAAAGATTTGAGAATGATATTTGTTCAAATAGTCATAACTATTTGAACTAGTTCAGAAAATAACTTTAGTTTTAAATCTCTTACTTATTAATTTTTGAAATATTAATAAAGTAGTATTATTTTATTTTGAATAAGTTTTTATGAAATGAAACAATTGTTTTATTACAAAACAAAAGGTTATAACAACTTTAAATAGATAATTGTTCAAATAGTCAAATTTATTTGAACTTGTTTGATAAATAGATTTATTTTTTTTAAATCTCTTGCTCATTAATTTTTCAAATATTAATAAATTACAATTATTTTATTCTGAATAAGCTTGAATGAACTGAAATAATTGTTTCATGAATAAACAAAAGGTAAGAATGATTTGAAATAGATAATTGTTCTAATAGTCTTAACTATTTGAATTGGTTCAATTAACACATTTATTTTTTGAAGCTCTTATTAATTTTTGGAATATTATTAATTTAGCAATATTTTACTCATAATAAGTTTGTATGAACAGAAGCATTTGTTTTATTACAAAACAAATATCATAATAATTTGAGATGGATAATTGTTCAAATAGCCATAAGTATTTGAATTGGTTCGATAAACAGATTTAACTCTTAAATTTCTTATTAATTTTTGAAATATTATTTTATTCTGAATAATTTTGTATGAATAGA